TCATCACTGTCCACGACGAAATCCGGTACCTCGTCAAAGAAGAAGACAGGTACAAAGCAGCGATGGCTCTGCAAGTGGCTAATGTATGGACGCGCGCAATGTTCAGCCAGCAAATGGGGATCAATGAGTTGCCCCAATCATGCGCCTACTTCTCCGCTGTCGATATCGATCACGTCTTGCGAAAGGAGGTAGATATGGACTGCATCACACCTAGCAACAAGGAGAAGATCCCGCATGGTGAGAGTCTGGATATCATGGCGTTGTTGGAGAAGGGCGACGAAGCGCGGCTTGATCCCAAGCACGTTCCAAAGGAAGCCGACGTGCCAACACCGGAGAAGTACACTCACGCCTTCACCCCCCGCACACCCATCATGACTACTCTTTCGCGCGGCGACGCAGTCGGCGATCCAACAGCAATGGCGTATCTCAAAGCGCAAATATCCTCTTCCGATCAGGAACTCCGCGACATCCTCAAACCTCTCCGCGCAACGCCAGCACCGCGCAGTAGTAGCAGCACTAGCAAGACGAAGAGTAAGAGTGGAAGTACGGCCGGCAACGAGGTGTCAGACATCGAGCAAGAGAACCGCGAGATCCAGAGGGAGATCAAGCAGTTCGATAAAATGGCCAAGCAGTCTGCTGCGAGTGATCCTTGGAAAGAGGTGTACAAGCGTGCCAATGCTAGCACGAAGGCCAAGGGGAAGCCGCCCGGTGAATGGTGGCAGAATGGCTATACGACGCACAACAGGAGTGCGGTGAGGAGTGCGAGAGTATGATCTATGTTTCTTGTACCCTTTTTGTAATGTAAGATTCTGTACGGCAAAACTTCATGTATTGGGATGGGTTATGGGCTAGGTGGGCGGCGCGACGTCTTGGTTACTTGGTTACATGCATAAACTCGGCGCATCGTTCCTTCCACAAATGGAATTCTGGTTTGGCGTTCTTCCGATATCGTCCCCATTCTGCAGTCACGGGGTCTAGCGGGGTATAAATACCCCTCCTCCGCGCCGCCTCCTTCTCTTCTTCATCACACCTGGCATTCTTCATTGACCGAAAGGGCCCTGACGCAAAGCCATGGCTTCGCCGGTCTGGCTTTTCCAAAATTCTAGATGAAATGGAGCATGTGCTCGCCTTTCCTTTCCGGTTTCGACATCGACGCCGAAAACCAGGCATCAAGAAACACATGGTTTCTGGTTCCGGTCTTTCCCAAAACTGTATGTTTTCGAGGTAATGTGTCCGCCTGCTCGCGTTACTTTCAACCTCCAAAACTTTAGGCCTGAAGACGACATGACTTCAACCGCCTGTCGTTTCGAAAGATAGAAGAAGGCTGGGAATATGCTGGCATCAACTTGCGCTTTCAAAATCAAAACTAAGATGCGGTATGAGGTATACATACGTTTCTGGTTGTCCAAAATCGCTATGGAACGTTTCTATGTGTTCGCCTCGGTCGGCGATGGGAATGTTTCAAAAGCCGTTACTACCGTTGCATGTTCTACGCCGCCTGACTAGGGAAAGCGCCTCCTGCAAAAAGGCGATGTAGATGTCTTGGCGAGCGCCTTAAATTTATCACTCGATGCGTGGACAATATTTCTGCACTTCTTCTTTCCCAGGAAGAACACCAAAGATGCTTCAGAACTTCCAAGATGGAGAAGTGGTGCTCTTTCGGCCTCCAAAACCTGCGGCACCCCTTTACATGTTTCTCCTGGTTGTTCCGCTGCGACAGCGCAACATGAAATCACATGAGTTGATGTGGAAGCAGCTCGTTCCGGAATACGCTATGTATTCCTCGCAGCGCACGAAGAACGTCCTTAGTTCTCTCCTTACTTCGCAAAATCACCAAAATGGCAGTTCAAAAGATTGATGAAGTTGGCGTCCTTCTCTCGGTCTCCAAAACGTGGTCTTCGAACGTCTTATGCGTATGCAACTCCGAAGACTCCATCATATCCACCAGGATTGCAATACTCTCAAAAGCTGTTCTCAATGGCAACATGGAGTTTGCTCCTCGTGTGCGGCCTTCCTTCGTCTCTTGCGGCACAACTCGTATATCCAAACAGCGCCTCAAACTCAGTATTGCACTCCGCCTCGATGATTCCCCAAGTACATATACTGAGCAGAGAGTCCGAGACCGATACAACATCTTCTACACTTGATGAGTATCCAAACTCGCCATCGGACACTACTATGAGCTGACTTCGCGCGGTCTTTCGAAAAATAGTTCCCGACTTTCCATGATTGCAAGTTTCTGCACGCCTCGCAATATTCTTTCGATGTTAAAACGACATCGTAATGGCATCATGGCGCTCCGCTATCAGAACCTTCAGTTTCTCGTCGCCATGTGAGAGAGACGAACACCAAGCATCCTCGCACTTCGGGTAATATGACCAAGAACGATTGAATAGAACATAATGGAGTTATTTCTCCTGTCTCTGTCTTTCAAAACGCGAGCGAAACCTTTGGATGTGTCTAGGTCACTCTTTTAATGTCGTCATAGCATCAAAAGAGCTTCTCGACCCTTTAATGGCGTCTTCCCGACGAGCTAATTATCTTTTTTCACAGTAGAAAGCACGAGTACATTTATAATCTCGCATTGTATGGAGAATGACCGAAGTTAGAAGCCAAAGAAGTCATGGAGTTGGGTCTCTTGTGTGGGCCCTTGCAAACATGCCGAAGCAGCTTTCCATGCTGCAAGACTCCTTCGTCTCACCGTTCACTCTCAAATCACCACAGCAAATATTGAATGCAGCGCGAAGCCTTAGCCTTTTGAAGCCTTTGGGGTTTCTCGGCTGCGGGTGACGAAGACAGCGCAGATTCCGGCAGGCTGGCTGACGAACGAGACGAGATGGACACAAGAAGAGTAGTGGGTCGCTCCTACCCTTTCACTCAATGATGTCACGGGTTCCGAAAATTTCTTCGCGCGCCTGCCTGGACGCGTGCAGTCGCTAGCGTGACTACCACGAGTGTTTGCGGCCTGCACCTACCTGGTTATCACACTGTCGCCTTCCCCGTCTTTCCAATCTTGTCTCCCATCTTATCGCCGACCACGACGCAAGGATAAAGATGAACGCCGCATTCGAAACACCCTTTGGCGAGTGGGAGGAAGGGACCCAAGAACATGTAAGATCTACGAAATAGAGCTGTGTTGGGAATGAACTAACACGGTACGCTCATCTAGGTTGATCAATCCAAGTACTCCAAGCTCGCCTTGAGTCTCGACGAATATGGATGGCTACCTTTAGTCCGCGCCGCGTACGATGACGAGAAGCTCACCGACAATAATTTCGCCAAGCGCTGCAGCCTCGAAGATTGGATCAATGTTTCCGATGACGCTTTGTCTACCGTCGAACCCGCGATACTCAAAGCCATCTGTTGTGGAGACGTGAACGCTACGATCAAAGGCGATAGCGACCTGCGCAAAGTCATCCACTCATACGAAGACCGCGCCGACAGCAAAGCGACTATCTATCTGCGACAGATGACGGTTGGTGTGGGACAAGAGGCACTTTCCGTCACTCACGCACGCGACCTTGCCTTGGCCGCTATGCAGTACGCGAATCAAGATACCTCAGACAGCGCTGCGGATATGGCGTATGAGATCGACAAGAAGGCGCTTGATGAAGACTGGCATATTCGCTACACCATCAGCGGACGGCGCCACTTCATCGAGGGCAGCAAAGGCGACGTTGATGTCGGAAAGAAGCGCGTGCTGCGAGGCTTCTCCCGCGCGCTGACTCGTCTCGCCGACCAGGCCGAGAAGGACAACATCGCCTATATTCCTTTCCTACAGTCTATGGGCCATGCAAGCAAAGGCAATCAAGTTAGGTCGCAACACGGAGACACCTTGACGGGAACGAGTTCGCTGCTCGCCTTCACCAAATGCTGTCTTGAAAGCTGGAAGAACTTCAACCCGATCGAGATGCATCACTTCACCATCTGTCTTATCCCCGATGACACTGGCGGTCCTGTCGCCTATATGCTTCTTGCCCGCCTTGCACGCGCATACTACTTCGCTGGCGGCCTCAGCATCGGTCAAGCAGAAGCCAGTAGTTTGAGCCTCAGCCTGAGCAGGTCTAAGCCCCAGGAACGCGGAAATGTGTGGATGGCGAACACCCAATGGGTCAAAGATTACGCCGACTACGACAAGACCCTAGAGAAAGAGGTAGCTTCCCGTAAGAAGCTGCAGAAGGCCGAGTACGAGGCCGGCATGAGCGCAGAAATGGAAGAAATCACGGACTTCAAGACAAGGCTCCAGAGCATGCGTGAAGCCGTTGAGGAGATTCGAGAAGAGCACCGGCTGCTAGACGATTGGCAGGAGTTTGAGGAGAATTTCCCGGACGAGTACCAGGAGTTCAAGGAGTTGGAGAAGTTCGCTATGGAGACGACGAAGGCGCTCACTGAGGTTGGGACATCATGATTACTGCCACGTACCTTTTTGTTTGGGTTGTGTGGTTTGATATATTTGAAGTAGTAGGTAATTTGGAGTGGTCGTTGAAAGAATAGCATGGCTGCATTAGCTAGCTGATATCTTTGGGCACAGTCAGATGCTATTACAGCTTGTATTGACGCGGGCAGTTGAGTAATCTTCCCCAACCGACGCTGAAATTTCATGATTACCTAAACTTTTGCAGCTTATCACATGTCCGTCCTTGAACTCTTTTCTTTCACAACACATGTACCCCAGCTCAAGTTACTCTGTTTCAAATCTTAGATCTTGGTCAACTGCCGTGATTGGTAGACGTCGTCGCTATCTGAATATACATATCTGTGAGATGCAATCTGCAGTTTACAACTGTGTCCCTTTCACTCAAAAGTAACACGCTTGGACAATTCCACGAGCGCGAAAATCTCTTCGCGCGCCCCTGCCTGGACTTACATAGTCGGTACCCAAACCAGCTCGTATTCACACTTCCCCTCTCTCGCCTTCATTCATATCTCTCTACGCCTGAACTCGCGACCTATCTGGTCTAAGGATAATGGTGGGTTGCACGGACAGGTTCGTTGCCCATATGCGCACCCTTGCCCACCCGAACAGGCAGGTGCACCAAGCGGCTGCGCAGCCCTACCAGCCCTCCGAAGTCGAGAACAAGCACGAAGAGGAACTCGATAAACAGACTGCTCTCACCAAGCGTCACGCCGAGGAGCACGCCGACGAGAAGCAATCTCGCGTTCTTCTACTACAAGCCGCCGCATTTCGTCACAAGCTCAGGGATGTTGAGGCCAAACACGCCGCAGACCTCAAGGACGTGGAGATCAAGCACACCAGCTAAGAAAAATGTCAACTCCGAGATGGACGGCCTGGTCTTCACCATTGGAACTATGACAGAACTGTTGGATCGTATGATGGCACTTCTGATCGAGGTGAGCCAGGAGCTTGAATTGGGCGAGGTCTATCCCGGAGAAGAGTTCATGCTCGCCCGAGTGCTCGGCTCCATGAGGAGACGCATCCTTGCCTCAGAGAAACTGAAAATCAGTCTACACCATCAGATAGACCGACGAGTTCCTGAAATCCTTGAAAGAGCGTTACCCTCATCTACAAGCATCGAGCTCAAGCTCGACCTATTGTTCGACCGTGTCAACGCTGCTGTTCGCGATCAGAAAAGTGCGGCGCATGATCAGCAAAATGCGGCAGTTGCTGCTCTTGAGGGGGTCTTAGACGCCTACCTCCAAGATGCATGCACTAGTTTGGACCACCCCAAACTCTACGACGGCAGTACACAACAACGAGTCAAGACATTTCTGGAGACATTTGTCGCTCAGTATCGCACCGACCAGGATGTCTGTAGAGTGCTCTTAGATGAGCTTCGCATTTCCGCGAGCAACAATTCCATGAGCATTTCTAGACATTCTCAACGATTCGACATATGCTTGCGTTCTTACATCGACGCCGTTGACGCTAGGCTTGGTATGTCCCCTCGTCTCAGGTATGACGCACTCTCATCGTAGACAGGGAGCAGCTTTGGCTAGTTACGCGGTTGTTCGAGCAGCTTGACATGTCTGCGTAGCCTTTGGGGTTTGCATTGGGCGAAGACGGCGGCGACGGTGACGACAGCGTAGAACACAGAAAAGACGCAGTTGAGAAAAGCATAATGTCAGGAGGAAAGTAGGTAACTCACGATGAATACATCAGGTCAACAATCTGGCAGTGCATCGACATTTGACTACGTGCTGTGTGTTCATGCCCCCCAGTTACAGTACATTTTATCAGATTGCGCGAGTGTTCAGAAGATCTTTGCGTACCTTCCTGGAATCGCTGGCGTGACAGCCACGCGTGTTTGCTACGCACCTGCCTCGCACTTTTCACACGTCTCTGATCCTTCCTTGGTCTTCCGCCCTTGTCGCACATCTCACCTCACCACATACCAAAACACGCAACACGATGTCGACAGCGACCCGAGATACGGTCTCACTTCGGTTACGAAAGAGCCTATACCAGTTCGTCCAAGACGCGTTTGTCGCTGCGAGAGTCTCCACAGACAACTGGCCTCAAGCTTACGAGGATGACGATGCAGTTAACGTTGCGACCGTGGAAGGGTTCATCGCCGAGCGTCTGGGCGCTTTCCAGCGAGCAATCGAGCAGCAGCGTCAAGAAGTCATAGAGGAAGGTGACCAGTCCATTCGCGAAGGAAGTGTAGCAATGGATGCCCTGGCCAAGCGCGTCGGTGGAGGCGAAGCAGAGTGCGTCCCTACCAAGGAAGACTACGGTGCCTGGATGACAACACGCCGGATGGTGATCGAGGAAGGAATCAACAATCTCAGCAAGATTACCAACGACGCCGTTAGTGCGTGCAAGCGGACAACTTCGGCGGTCGATGATATCCTCCAAGACCTATTCAACGCGAACAAAGCCGATAAGCCGGAATGGAAGATCAGGAAGGCAATCCAAAAGGTCACTAATTTAGAGGAAATGGGCTTTGATAACATATTCCTCACATTGCTCGATCAGGCGCGTATACAGTTATGACATCGAAGTACTGATTTCAACTTTGCAGAACTTGATTCAGACTTCAGATGCAAAAACTGTCTCGCCGTCTATAGTATCTCTTTTCACGCACACATCAATTACTTTTTCTACCAAAGATAGAGCCGACTATCCTCATGTCCGCGGCCTCTGCGCTCTCATCGTGTATGGCACACTCGATCAAAAACACCAAAGGTTGGCGCCATGTGTGGACCACGACATCAACACTCGTTGCAACGAATCACGGTTCGCGTCATGACCTTTACCGTCGAAATATTCTCCTTTCTCCTAAGCAACGAGAAGAAAGGGCTGATGTAGTTTATTGCATGGCCTGCGCAAGTATAAAACCTTCGCTCTCCGTGCAGCATTCTCTCTTCATCTCCACAGCAAAACTTCTTTTTCCAATAGGCGCAGTAGGCATTCGACATGTTTCTGCCTTTCGCGCCTTCGTCTCCAAGTCCAATTTAACTCAAAAGTCCCAACGTGTACTAAATGTGCGAAGCACGACGTGGGGCTTGTACAAAAGACTTCAGTGAAAAGACATGTCTTCCTTGCGCGAGCTCAAATACTGTCATCAAAATTCGCATTCTGATAAAGTCATGCTAGTACTGCCTGAGCGTGGGGATATATACAGCTCACGCGTTTCTCACAGGCTTCCTTTTTACCCACACAACGTCTCCCATTTCATCAAAAACTTCCGTTACCATGGACAATGTCTGCGTTTGCCTCGCCTTCGTCGCAAGTCCGTTTCGACCTGAAAGCATGAGTCTCTCTCGATATGTGAGAACGCGAGACCTGGTATTTTGTTCAGTGCTCTTGCGATTGCTTTCTGAAAAACGCAACAGGCATGTGTATGACAGCGCTGCTCGGGAGTGCGGGTATATAAACTCAACGCCATCTTCACTCCTGTTCCACTCACCCACACAAGGCGTACCGTTTCGCCAAAAACCACAGTGAAACATTACCATGTCTGGTCCTCTGCGGCTTTGTCGCAACCCTGACTCTACCAAAAAAACAGACCACCAGTTACATGTGGCCGAGTAGAGCCTCGGCTCTTGTTTAAAGTACACACGTTGACATCCATGGAGTTTGGGAACGCTTACTCCACCTTGATATCAAATTAAGCAGAACCTCAATCCATGTTAGTGTTGCTCGGATATGTGGGTATATAAACCTCTTTTCGAGGCTGTCCTTCTCGTCTTCATCACACCACTCCCAGAGTGCATTCTCCAAAACATGCCGTCGTTCGGTACATGTCCTGCGTCGGCCTCCTGTCTCTTTGAAACGCGATCCAAGATAGAAGGGAAAAGCCTGATGGCGCTGCTCGCTTTTCAAAATGTCACATTCAAAGCGCATGATCGACCGCTGCACTTTATGCCGCATTGTGTTATCGGAAAACCAAAATGCTTGACTGAGCTATGGATGTCCGTCTCTCCCTCCGCGGCACTTCTCATAATCGGAGTTGGTGGAAGAAACTTGTTGATTCCATTCGCCTCCAAAGCGAAGTGCAAGCAAATGATGCGCAAAAGTTCTGTCCAAAAGGATATGTCCAGTGCGGTGTGGCAGCAAAACGGCGACGGCGAGCGACCAAAACAATATTTCGCCAAGGCGATGATGTGGAGGTGTGAACAAAAAGGCCACCCGGTGCAGTCAAGGGTGGTGCCCCTTCTGAAGCAGCCTTCAAAGTAAAAATTTCAGAACGGCATGCTTGCGTGTGGTGAAGCCTGCGTAGTCCGGTCAGAAGATGCGCAATATCAAAGTCATGGTGATGAGGATGATGTGAAGAAAGAGCCCTGGAGCTCATGTTGCATTGATGCGCAAAGTCGAACGCCGTCGACCATTATCCAAGTCCTTGGCCGCAGCCATCCCAAGAGTCCAAGCAGACATATCCATGCCCTCCCAATGTCCAATCCAATCCAACCAAAAGAAAAAACACGATCTATATGCTGCAACCAAACACGCGCACGCAAATGCCATGCTATGTCACAAGCGGTCTATACGTCTATGCCAAAGAGCATTCGCAAGTATAGGTAATGACCGTCATCGTCGGACCGATCGCTCGTCGACGAAGAAGAGGAAGAATTTGTCGGGGTATCGCAGAAGTGTGTAATTCGTTATCGTCCTCGCCTAAACGATGAGCAGCTTCTCAACGTTCTCGCCCGCGCTGCGCTCGCTCATGCGGTTCCAGGCGGCGTAGGTGAGGACACCGCAGGCGGCCCACATGACGGGGACGGCGGCTTCGGCGCCAGCTGAAACACAGGTTAGTACGGTTGCTTCATTTTTGATGCTTCCTTTTCATGACGTACATGGACGCTCGGCCTGCGCGGCCATCTCCATGACGCGGGCTGCGCTGCTGGTGGAGCTGGAGGAGTTGGCGCGGATGGTGGCGGGTGCAATGCGCTTGCCGGCGAAGGCAGCGGTTATGGGGACGCGGGTGGCGATGCGTGCGAACATCTTGTTGATTGTTGTTGAGGTTTGAGGATGTATTATCGAGGAAACCGGGTTTATGTAGCGACAAGTGCCGACGTGAGTAACCTCTGTGATGACACGTATAAACAAACGATTGCAGTCGTGGTAGTGAACCCTCTTGGATATGGTAAAAGTGAACGTGCGTGGTTTCGAGTGAATCCGGGGAAAGAGGACACAGACACGGAACACGGTTTATATAAAGAAAGTGGGCCTGGGGAAGGAGGTGACAGGGCTGAAGGGAAAGGAGGCGAAGCCGGAGATGGCGCGAGCAGAAAATTTAGGGGCGGTGAGCGATCCGTGCAGGGATGTGCCAGGTCGAGATAGGCTTGGCCGCCAGCACGTGAGTGGGTCGGGTGCGGAAATAGCAAATGTGAAGTCTGGGGTAGCCGTCACTCTTGAGGAAGTCACGGCCCTTGCATCACGCGGCTTGGACTCATGCTGAGAAGTCTTGAAGATGATGCATTCGATGTATTGAAACTGAATGCGACCGACGATGAGGCTCTCCGAGTTCCACCCGGCTATATTTCACAAAGAGCCGCAGGGACCCTGCTTTGAGATCGGCACTGCGGTGCATCCCCGGCCTTCTAGACGAATCTACCGAGAATTAACCTGCCCTCGCCACCCCCAGCCTCGCCACCCCCAGCCTCAACAGCAACTCAACAACAAATCTAGGTCGCGGACGCTTGTTCTTATGCGTTTCTCCGGCACTCCCTGTAGCAGTCATCAAAACCTCCACTCCGATGTATGAGGGACGTCGTGTTATATGCTGTACCTAACGAACTCGCCCTACAGGCATTCATTTGCAACCAAACACTACCTACGTACGAAAGAAAAGGCAAAGCCCTTCAAAGAGATCCTCCTTCACAAGTACCAAGAGAAGAATACCAGCTGAATGTTGCACCAATCCCAAACTCAAGCCTCCACTCAGTAGTTCTGCCACAGAAAGTCCTCAACCTTCCTCCCTTTGCACACCTTCACGATTGCGTCTCGCGTCATGGCCACCGAGCGTATTTCATGGAACCTCTTGTCTGCCATCCGGTCATTGCGACCACGTAAATTCAAGTCGACATCGGACATCGTCAGGCGAACGCAAAGTAACGCCGAGTCGATGCTATCACTGTGTATCTCGAGATATCCACACGAGTCTAATGCATGAGTTAACGGGTCGAATAACGTAGGCCCACACTCCCCGAAGCGCGTGGCGATCTCGAACAGTATGTCCTGGCAAAGACCATAAACCGCAAAACAATTCAGCCGAGCTATTGCGAACGCCCCTTCGTATTCCGGTCTGATAATCTCTTGCGCGCGACGGATAAGTTCCGATGGTGGATAGGAAGTCTGAATATCGGTCTTGCCTTTGTCCCTTTCAATCCGTCGAATTACATTAGGGTCGCCCGTGAGTTTGACCCAAAGCTCGGGAGTGGGTATGTAAACATTGTGAAAGCTGTCTTGCGCGGAAAGTTCCATGGTACTAAATCGGATCTTGTTTTGTTCGCCAGCGACTTGCTGGGGTACTTTCTTTGGGGTTGTGGTCAACTCTGTGAAGTCCTTCGTTAACTTCTTCACGAACCTCGCACCACAATAGATCTCAAAGGTATTCAGAAACTTCTCTCGAGGTTCTTGCTTTCCCGGGAAAACCACTGTCTTGAACAAACTTTGGAGATGTTCCAATACTGGTATCTGGGGGCATCTAGCATCGATTTGCCGTAGCATGTTGTAAAGATGCATTACAGCGGCGAACATTTTCTGCTCGTTGAGAACCGCAAGGCCACAGTAGAGCGTAAAGTCAGATATAGCGGACATGTAACTTCCCGTGACCCAAGGTGATTGAGAATAAATGTCGAACGTCTTGACAGCAAGGAACTTCTCCAGGTTCATCTTGAGTAGCTCGATGGTGTCTCCCGTCAGATTTTGATGTTGCTGTAGCTCTGCTATCGCGCGAAGCACTTCGTTCGCTCGGCTTAGTAAAATGATGCGGCAGTTCGGCGGCGTCTTTCCTAACCTCTCGCATTCGTGCAGAAAGCTACGCCCGCTTTCCAGTAGCATGTGCGTTGCTACCAATTCCGAGAACCAAGTCACCTTCTTCGAAGATTCAGCGACAAGAGGAAGCGCTGAGGGGTGTTGTAGATGTCCTTGCCTGATATACGCCCACCGGGGCGAGGCATTTTGCGCTTTGTTTGAATCCGGATCGAGTTGGTATGCTTGATAGGCGGGGTGTAGAGAAATACTCTTGACTATAGATCCGAGCAGCATGCGCTCATAGTCGTAACGGTCGGCGCAAATTTTTTCGCCTGCTGCTTGGCGATCCTCTTGAGAGAGCTGAGATCCATCGCGCGATGCGAACTCGGCGACTGCCCCAACGAAATTCTCTTTGACACTGCGCTCCTCAGACGGGTTGCGAAAGAAGTCTTGGAAACGACGCCGCTCGTTCTCGAAAGACCGCGGGATTTGTTTTGTTTCGACAAAAGCGTTCAGGAGTCTGAACGGCCAGATTAGACCAGTGCCATGAGTTAGCTCGACAAAGGATGAAGACGTTACAGATTCGCTAAATTTCGTCGATGTCAATTCTTCCGCAGTTATGTCTAACCGTAGACTACCACAGTCCCCAATTTCACTAAACACGCCCTGCTGAATAGTGACGTCCTTGCTCGCGTGACATTTCAGCCCTCTCACGAAGTGCTGAGCCATGTTCGTCAACCATCCGGCGGCTGCGAGGGATGTGTCGCCGCGAGCAAACGACCTCCAAATGGCATTCGTAGTGTCCACGATGGCCTGGTATTCTGTGAGGTGGGTTTGGATAGCAATCGCATCCTCGATGGGGTCTTCTACAATCGCGGATCGTTTGGGACTAGTTCTTGGCAGGCTGTCTTGCCAGTATTGAGATACGGATCCGTCATGATCTTTCTCGGCTTCTATCAGTCCAATCAGCGCCTCAAAGCTGTTCGTAGTAGCGGGAGGGAATGCGTCGGATGACGCGCTCGGTGCGCCCTTTGTGGCCCTCTTCTTTTGCCTGACTTTTGGCATGAGCAATGCATATGCTTCAGCTAAGGTCTCATTGAAGACCTTGTGACGTTCAGTCGAATCTTGAACTTCTTGCGTGGAAGATGGCAACGCCTCGTAGTACCTGGTCAACTTGCTGCGATTTAATATGACGTTCTTGAAAGCCGCTTGAATGTCCACGGGTGGCTTCTTACCCATGCTTGCAGCCTGGCGAGCGCGGTCAGCGATCTCGCGCACCGTCAACCCGGCTGCGTGTGACTGGTCTTGTTGCTCCTGGTTCGGTCGCGGTTTAGTTGTAGCTGACGAATCTAAAGACACGAGCCAACTGATGACGATCGAAGTTCCTTGCTTGTACGTGCGATAAATCTCGGATAGGGTCGGCGGAAGCCGCTCGGGTGCTTTGGTGGGGGGTTGCGCAGACATCGTGAAGCGACTGGGCTTGTGATCGGAAATGTCGTTTCAAGTCGATTTGGTGCTGTGTGAGAAAGGGGAAGCTGGGGGCGTGTCGCTATGCTTAATGGTGGGGGAGCTCGCAGTCTTGTAGTTATGCGGAAGCAGAAAAATCATGTTCTAGGCTGCAACTCATGCAACATCCCACACGTGACTGGCTGTGAGAGTTTAGCGCAGCATCATCCCATGGTTCAGCGGGATCGAGCTCGAAAGTGAGATCGTGCATGTAAATTGTGTAGGTTGGGAAGCCTGCAAGTGCCCCCATCGCAGAACGCAGTCGCATGACCCATGCGTCGCCATCAAGCTGACCACCAGATGCGCGCTTCTTCCATCGGGGCCTTGGTGGGAGGCTGGTGTCGCAAGATTGACGAGAACCTGCGCCGTGGATCTAATTACAGTGTTTCGGCTTGGATAAGGTGCTGCGGTTGTGTAGCAGCGATCGTTCATCGCTCGACGCGTCCGGCATCGCGAGGCATGGCACCTTCGAGAAAAGGGAAAGCGCGGGTGTTGCACATGCGAGTGATTACCATTACAATTCTGCTACCTACACGGTGGAAGCTACAGATGCGCGTAAAAATGGCAAGACACGCTTCACCAATGATATTAACAGTGCCTGGGATGAAAGGATTCCGCATAACGTGAGCGGGGAGGTTGCGCGGCGGACTAGCGCGCCAAGCATTCGATCAACGAGGCTAGTCTTGCTCTCAGGGACGAAACGGAAGGAACGGTCTCTCGGACTACTCATCAACGTGCAAGCAACGTCCCATTTCGGCCACTGTCAACAGCGACGATGATTGCACATGTACTCAGCTTAGACGTGTTCATTACGGCTGGCCGGTTCATCTAACGCGACACTATTATTGCACTATCTGCTGAAGCCACTACATCCGCCTCACATATCCTTCCATAGGTAGTCCTCTGGCTTGACGTCCCCGCAAACCTTGACCATAGCGTCACGCAGGAGAGCCAAACACTCATTTTGCCTGGCCCGTTTCAGCCCCGCAGCCCCAGACTTCAAATCTTTCTTATCGATGAAGAGCCTGGCCTGCTCCAAGAAGTCGTTGGCAGCTTTCACAGTGTTTGATGAAACGTCGGGAAAGCTATCAACCCCAGAGTTCTCCACGATGGTTCTGCTCCATAGTTGCATATCTTCCGGTAGACCCCCTGGCTTCGAGATGCGGCCGGCAACATCCTTGAAGAAGTCGAGCATCAGGTCCATAACAGCGAAGAAGTTGACCTTTGCTACTGGAAACGGCCCTTCGAATTCCGGTAGTATGTGGTCCTTCGCGCGAAGTAGAATCTCGGAAGGCGTGAAGTGGGCTAGGACGTTGGGCCTAACATCGTGCTTTCTGTTCGAGAGCCGCTTGTCCGTGATCTTGACTAAGAAGTTGGTGTCCAAACGGCATTGAAGTATGGTCTGGGTTGCGAATTCTGACATGGTCCATATACTGATTGGAGGGGCAGTTCGAACGTTATTAGTTCTTTCTACCATTCGTTTCAACCCGGCGAATTCCGGCATTCCATTTCTCACATACCACAGCTCCTGGCCATTGGTGACCCGAGCCGTGTTATCGAAGTTGGATGTGGGCCGTCCTTGAGAATGTGGAAAGATCGCCGGGCTGAGAAGGTCACAAAGATGCTCCAAGATGGGAATACGGGGGCAAGAAAACCCAATTTGTTGGAGCATATTGTACATATGCAGCATGTTGGAGAGACATCCGTCCTTGTTAAGCGGCCAGCTACCAACCAGCATGTTGCGCGCCGCGATGGTCGCCATGTAGCTCCCTGCAACCCATGGTGATTGCGAGTATAAGTCAAACACCTTGAGGGAAGTGAATTTGTCCAGCTGTTTGACTGTGAGTTTAGCTTTGGGGTACCAATAGTCTAACATCTCGGCCTTGACCGGGTCTTTTTCCGCTTCAAGTAGTTTTACGATCGCGTTCCGATTGTTCTTGGCGAATGACAAGACTTTAATCCGACTGTTGGTACTACGCAGATACTCGGTAGGTTTCGATGGAATGAAGCTTCGACAGCTCTCTATGAATAAGTGTACCCCCATGATGAGACTAGTCCGCATTACCATCTTGGGCTTTTGAGCTTCTTTGAACAGCCATAGGAGCGGGACGCTTAGCGGAAACTGGAGATTATCCTCGCCATACGAATCCTTCATCCAATCGCTTCTGCAACTCGCCGAATTCATCATTTCTTCAAAAGGCAAGGCCGACAACGGATGTTGATAGATGCTTCGGCACATAGATCGCATGATTTCTTTTTCATGATGGTATCGTTCGTTTGCGATATCCGTGAGCTTTTGGACATGCTCAGCGACAGTATTAGTCTCTTTCGTTGGAAGGTAGGCCAGGATCGAATCGACGAAGTCTTGCTTAAGGGCCTTCTGTTGCGAGTGCGCCTTGAAGTAATCTTCGAACTTACGGCGCTCCACGACGTCCAAAGACTCGTCTTTTGCTAAAATTAGCGCTCCAAATTGACCAAATTCGTTGTATGGCCAGATGAGACCGTAGCCGTTAGTTAGATCTTGAAAGACATCTTGTTCATGGCCTGATCTGAACCCTTCAGGATCCTGCAACCACCTGGGCACAAAGCTGCCTCTTGCTTCTTCCGGTTTGTCTTTTCCATGGAAAAAGGACCTCAACAGTGCGTCATGATGATCCGTAACGAGTGATTGTGAACGAATCCATTCGATCAAGTAATTCTGGACCATGTTCGTGAGCGAACCGGCCGCTGCCAGAGATGTCTCACCGGCAGCAACGGACTTCCATAAACTCTTCATGGTCTCGATTGTGGTCTGAAGCTCTGTAACGTAGGCATGCAGCGCAACAGCTTCGCCAACAGAGTCGTCGGTGATGGAAGAGTTGGCGGAGTTACTGGGGGCTTCAGCTTGCCAAAAGTCCGATGCGCAGGCGTCGAAATCGGGCTCTTCCTCAACGATATGAGCTAGGGTTTCGAATGAATTGATGTTGGGTGTCGCTTGCGAAATATTCGTGATTGGCCTCTTCGGTTTGCGTTTTGTCAACTCTGGCGGGAATAGAATCGAATACGCTTGGGAGAGAGTCTCATTGAAGACCTTGTGACGCGTTGTTGCCGAGATGGTGTCTGCCGAAGCTGTAGGGAGACGATCGTAATACTTGGTGAGCTTGTTACGGTTGACGAGAACGACCTTGAATGCGTCATGAACCGTCTGCGGAGGGTTACCTCTGCTTTTCGAGGCTTTCTTCGCTTTCTCCAGCAGTTGCTTGATGGTAATGGCATTAGACGCTGATACTGGCGCGGGGCTCCTGTCGAAGGCAGTAAGCCATTCCAGTACCACGGACGTCCCGCGCTTATACGTCTGGTATACGGTAAACAGGGTTGACGGCAGCCGATCGTTGCTGGTGGGAGTTGATGTAGCCATCTTGATGGTTTATCAGCGTACAGGGGATTACGTTCCTTATATTGTAGCCACAAAGCATGAAAGACCACTTTTCCTTCAACTATTGTCGGTTCTACCGCGATCGGTCGAGCTGGTTGATCCAACCATGGTTCGCTCCATGAGTCACTCCCAGACACACAGCGCACGACCTTACCTCGCCCAGATCACGGAAGGCGCACACTGCTGTGCGGAACCTCTGTGATGTCTTGAGGTCGCGAGGAGAAGACATCTCACTAAAAGCGCGCAAAACTAGACACAATGAGCCATCGTAGCCGCCTCACTGATGCGTGATGGCGTGCGTAGCTGCCAAAAACGTGCCACCTCGAGGCTGCGGGAAGGAGACATCGCACCCAATGCGCGCACAACTAGACACAATAGACCATTGTAGGCGCCTCGCCGAAGCGTGATCTCGTGGGTAGATCAAACCGAGCAGACCGTCTCGAGCCTGCGAGGAGACGACATCCCACTCAAAGCGCGCAAACCTCGATACAACAAATCAATGTAGGCGCCTCGCTAGAGCGCAATTCTGTGCATCGACCAAGACTATTGCGGGAGCGATACCATCAGTGCAAAAGCTACGGTGATGACTGGATGCAGCAACTGAGCCATCCGTGGAACGAAGATGACTCCCCAGCCGCGCTAGCCTACATGCGGACCACTACACACAGAATGCCATCAGCAACGGAGGCGATGTCAGCAAGCCATGCGCAAATCTCCTGGCTGGTATGAGTGCGATAGCCATTGGCGAAAGGGAATTTTCGGGGATGCGCTGTGCGAAGAAGCGGCTCAAAGTGTGCGCACGCCTGCAGACGTCATCGGGAATAGGGAAGCACCGCCATCGCCATCGCGACTGTCCAATATCAGCAAACAATTCTGATGATCCAAGGAACATATGAACGCGGCAAGGGCGATGGGTGACTTGCCAAAGTGCGCTGTGCGAGGATGCAACTCGGGGTCTTCGCACTCCAGCAAACGTCATCAAGGGAAGCACAGACACTATGCAGGAAGGCACGCCTGTGGACTCATGTTTTATGGAGTGAATTAATATCTGACATACTCATTAGCCGCTTTCTCGCATGCTTATCAGAGAAAGAATACCTATACACAAACTCCGCCCAATGCTTCGGCATTCGAAATACCTGTCCAGCACTCAACAATCCAGACTTTCTAAACCCCATCCCTTATCCCGACCCAAACCCCACCTTCCTTCTCATTACGACATTCCCCCATCCCCCATCATGACTTCCCGCCCTTCCGTTGCTTAACCCTCGACCCAATACTGTCACTTCCACTCGCTTGCAATCCCACACCACTTGCCGGCGTACTCGGCGCCTCCTCGATCCTGTCCAGATCCTTCTCAACCTCCACATCCTCCTTGATCAACTTCTCCTTCTCCTCCGTCTCCTCATCCGTCGGCGCATACTCGCTACGGTCATCATCCGCGTCCTTGTACACGACAAATCGGTATGCGATCCTGCAGATGAAGAACCACCAGAAGAGGTTGACGGCCTGCAGCGACGCGAGGAGGGCGAAGGTGATGTATTGCGAGATCCAGCACTTGTATTGTTGCGTTTCCCAGTTCAGCTCAAACGGACCGACGGTTTTGAACGTGGTGAGGATGGAGTAGATGATCTTGAGGTTGATGTAGTGGCGCGTGTAGCCCCAGATGACCATGAAGACGAAGAAGTAGGGGCCGACGATGGGGGAGTCGATGTAGTTTAGGCATTTGGACGTCTGGATCGCGTTAGTAAACCAATCTTGAGGTTGGGGAGAATCCCGACTTACAGCCAAGAAGAAATCCGACACATCATGCGTGATGTACACCGCAATCCCCATGTACGTAAAATGAAACCGGTAGCTCAACCAGATCAAGCTGACAGTAATAACATGATGCGCAACCAGCTCCTTAAAGTCCTTCCGCGGCTTCTCCAGCATGAGCAACAGCACAATCGCCTGCTGCGCCCAGTAACTCGCTTGAAGGAGATAGTACGCCTTGACAACGGCCTCGTGCGTGCGATGCGGGAAACCCTCATACATCCCAATAGGATTGAAGTACCACACCGGCGTGCGACTCATGATCCAGATGCCAAACGGTCCGTACAGCGCAAAGTACAGCGCCGTGTACGCCTGCTCCATGAACCTGCTCTGTTTATCCCTGTTCTTGATCCCAAGCTTTACCGCAATCGGGCGAATGAGTCGCTGCATGCAGAACTCGCGGGTAAAGCTCAGCACGATGATGTAGAAGCCGACGAAAGCAAAGTCGCGCCCGCCCTTGCCGTAGTGAACTGGGCCATTGGGATCCGCGCGGACGTGGGCGGGGATGAGCGGGTCGTCGCGTGCGAGCGGGTAGGACAGGAAGAGGCAGGCGGACAGCGGGTTTGATTCGTAGGGGTAGACGAGGTAGAGGGCAACGATTGTGAGGCCGAGGATGAGCGGCAGCAGCCAGGTATGGCGGATGCATTGGCGCTTGAATTTGGAGAGGTAGCGGCGTGTTGTTCGTCGTTTGGAGCGGCGGGCGGACTTCTCTGGTTTCTGCGGGAGCTGTCAGCGCGTGCCCTGCATACCCTGGATGAGGGCCAAAAAAGCACTCACCGAGTCCATGCTCGTCGGGCTGTTCAGCGGCGGGGTGCTCGTGCGGTGTGTAGCCAACGCTGGGACGTCGACATCGCCAGGTACATCGGAACCCAGCGCACTAGACTTTCTTCTCCGCCTGGCTGCGCCGTGCGTTGCTGTATTGTGTGGCAGTGCGCCGTTGAGGGGAGGAAACGGTTCCGTCATTGTGAGGTTGAGGAGAAGCGGAACGCGGAAGACGGGTCGGTAGTCGCAATACCTTGTCTGTTGTCAAGGAGAAACAAAACACCTCCCAGACGACGTAGAAGAAGCTCCGAAGAAGAGCCTGCAGCAGAAGATATAAAGCGGCTGAGATATAAAAGCGGATGCGTTGCTTCTCCTTTCTCTGGCTTTCCCGAGGCTCGCCGCAAGTCAGGCCTCGCTGGCTCGACGTCCCAAGCAATTTCCGACCGGTGGAGTGGAGCCCTTGGCTTTCCGTAGCGCGTCGATCTGCTGTGAGCGAATGCCAGGGGTACGTCTTATGTCAGCGGCGTACTCGCTTAAAACTACTGTTTAGAAATGCTGAAGATCCCAATGCGACTGAATGTGACGTGGACCACGGTGCAAGATGCTTTTGGACCCTGATGGAGGTGCGGTCCGGGTCCCTTCCGCGGTCTGATAGAAAGATAATAGAAGCGCGCGTCACAGGTGCATGGAACAAGCAATCGATGTACGGGTGATGGGTCGGGGAGCTACCCGGACCAAAAGCAACGGTAATCTCGAAGCTTATGTTACTGACTATTGGTATTTACATCTACATGGCTGCAGTCCTTACCAACACAGCTAGACTACATGTCCTCATCCCAATCAACGCTTGTGTCGCTATGCTGCAGGTCTTAGTCTGCTCCCTGCATGACCATGTGTATGAGTCGGCGCACCATTTGCTTTTATCTCCAATCTCTTCCCCGCAATCTCAAGATTCTTCTTCAATTCAGTTGTGGGTGTACCGACGCTGCTCGCTGTCACTGTACTGTCCATGCTTCCTTTTCTGGAGAGTACACCATCCTGACGTAACAAGCCTTTGATACCACCCGCCTTCCGCGCCGGAAGCTCGCCTTTCCCGGCAGTGGCAACGTAAAGTAGGTACTTCAGATTTGGTAATGTGTGGCGGATGTCGACGGGGCGCAGGCCGAGGGAGTTGGAAAGTATTTCGATGTTCTTGTTGAGGAGGAAGACGCCGTACTCGAAGCGATACCTGACAACATTCTTCATGTAGAGAGGGTAAGTGCGCTGGGGATTCTGGTTGGCCTGCGTAACGGCGAGTGGGTCGTCAATGGTCGATGTCGAGCCGTGGGGCGATATTGGATATGGTAGTATGACGGAGAGATAGGGCGACAGCAAATTGACGACTTGAGCGACGTAACCTAACGCTGCTGAAGTAACGTCTGGATTTACTTCGTCGAAGTTGGAGTTGGGTAAGAGAAGGCCGCGTATCGTGAATGCGAGCGCTTTGCCCTGAACAGGCTCGATAGGGAAGATCCTGAGGAGGTCTTCGCACACCCTTCGCCGTTGGCCGGTAATGTCCTCGGCAGCTTTCTCTATAAGTTCCTTACTCTCAGTGCACTTTGCCCTCTCTCCAGTTAGCGCCGACTCGGCTTGCGTTTGCAATTCTCGTCCGGCCTGTATCTTCTCTCGTCGATATTTGATGTTGGCTTGAAGCTCGTCCCGTTTCCTTCGCGCCGCCACCACTCGCCGCTTCTCAGCAGTCACCGCAGCCTGGACTGTGCGCAGACTTTCCTCCGTCTCGGGGACTGCCTCGACCGTGCAGATATCCTCTTTGTTCGCCGCAAGTATGCCCTCAATCTCGTCGGCGATCCGGTCTCGCGTAGTTAGCGCATCCTGGATGCAGTCGTCTAGAGTTGAAAGTCGCATCAGCGCATCGTATGACGAAGAAGTCAGTGCCTTCCCGTCTGGGTTGTTCTTCGGCGGTGCGAGAAGTTCAGGGCGCATTCGCTCCTCTACCGGCAGATCCGTGAAGCTGGTGTAGATTCCGTCCGTCATGTGGAAGAGTATGCAGTTCTGTGGGAGTGGGTGTCTGAAGCTTCCAAGGGTCCTGCCAATGAACTGCAGTGACCTGAACTGTACTGTGTAGTCCATGAGAAACTGCCAATCCTGCATCGTCTCGCTCTTCGCCCACACCCTCACAGTAAGCTTGTCGAGTCGCGTGACACCAGGACCACAGGGTCCAAGATCGAAGAACTTGAAATTCGGATTCATAGCCTTCTCCGCGACTTCGGAAATGTAAACCGGGTCGTCCTGGTCCTCCACATGCAGGCTGAAGAAGGTATCCGCCATGCGCCCTGCGGTAATGTCTTCCAGCTTCTTTTGGCGGAACAGGGGGGTCGCATTGGTCCACTCCATAGTCGAGCGCCGTCGCAGTCCCCTTCCATATCCGGGTCTGGTCGCCGTGTTCGGGGCAGGTTCGCGCAAGCCGCCATTGCTGCGCCGCGTGTCCTCGGGAGAGGTGAGGTCACTCGAAGATCGCGAATGCGCCAGGCCCCTGCTCTCTCTCATCGCCAGCGCCTTGGTGGGCGACTTGAGCGTGCTCGGTATAGCTTCATCGTCAATGGTCCGTCCGCGCGACTTTGGGGGAGATAAGCTGAGCGTGAGGTTGCGGATGGTGATGCCTTGGAGGTGTCTGAGCTTGCGATTCTGGGAGACTATCAGCGACTACAACCCTTGTATACTCGACGCGCATACATATGCAAGCAGCCACGGGCGCTCACGTGGTGGAGACTTGGGCTCGGCTGCCTGGGACTCGCCGGCCATTACGTCGCTGATCTGGTGGGTAGGCAGTGGCGGGAGCGGAAGATTCCAAAGAAACGTATCATCGAGGCATTGCTATAAGTGACATCAATCGCCCCAGCAATCGCAATGACGCAGCGCATAGTAAAGCTTGCGGGTGAACGCGTGTTTGGAGTTCCCAGTTGTCGTATTGGATCAAGCGGACCTCCGCGGCCTGGCCCGTGCTTTTTGAGACTCGCAACTTTCATCCACCAACATCGCCGGCGGCCATTGGCATCACCACCCCGCCGCCATGCCTCGATCTCTTGCCCGGCTGCGGTACAAGCCGCCACTACAGCCCATATCTCTCGCCAGTCCCACCGCCGCCAGCCGCGTCACCCCTCAGCATGTCGCGCACATGCAAAAGCAGATCGCTGCATATGTTGAAAGGCAGTCAAATCCGCAGCATCTCCGCCTACAGACCGTCGTAAACGAAAAGGCGAGACGACAAGCGACTTCTCAGCATGTGATCTCACCGGTCAAGCCCTACACTCTTCGTGACGTGGTAGACCCGGAAGGCACTGCCAAGCACGGCGAGATCATCTACATTTTCCGCAACACCAAGTCGAATCAGATCATCTACTCGCTGCAGGAACTCCTAGATGTATGCAGAAGTCATCAATTGTACATTTGTATGCTAACTTCATAGAACCACCACCTCGAACAACTTCCTTTTATTGGCAAGCACTCGAAGCCGCCCGCCCTACGTCCAGACGAATGGGTACCCCACTGTGTCCTCACCTTCCCCACCCCCAGCCAAGGCCAGAATGCTTTCCGCAAGCTACGCGAATTCCGCAGACTGCACGAGACTGCCTGGGACAAGACGAACCCCGAGTTCAAGCGCATGGACAAGAAGACGAGGGTCAAGAAGATCATGGACCAGCGCGCCAACACCAGCGCCGACTTGGCGGAAGTGCTGCGGATACAAGAGGCGCATGGAGCCAAGACGGCGGAAGAACAGGCTGAGCAGGAGAAGAAAGTATCGACTTTCCTCGACAAGCGCTGGGAACAGATTGACGCCCTGGCGAATGCGGGGCTGGCCAAGGCGAAGCCCACGGATAACGTCAAGTGGCTGCAGGGCCAAATACGGTCCATGGACCACAAGCTGAAGATGAAGCACCACCAGAACGAGGCCGATCAGAAGAGCATAAAGGCTGCCAAGGAGAGCCTCGAGACCCGCCTGGGGAAGCTACAGTACGCTCTGCGAAAAACGGAGCAGTTCAAGAACCTACAAGAAGATCTCACCAAGCGAGCGGCGCCAGCCAACGAGCTCGGTGCTGAGACGAAGTTGTATGAACTCAAACTCCAGGCCCGCACCCTGCAGGAGGCGCTCGACAACCCCGATCCTACACGTTCCGAGGCAGACCTTGAGCTGGATCGTGAGATTCTCGCAGGTCACCGCGCTGAAATCACCACCCTCGAGCAGGCTTTCGAAGCAAAGGCTCAGCTTAAAAACGGCAACCACTACATCGCCCGCTCCGTCCTGCCCAAAGCCCTCAAGACACCGCCCGTCAAGCCCTACACACTGGAAGGTGTGAGCGTGCGGTGGGCCGACATACAAGACGCCCTCTACGCAGCCGGTAAATGGCCCGCAGCCATCGAGCACGAGCCTCTGGAGATCAACAAGGCGCGCGGCGAGACGTTGATGCTTTCTGCCGAGGAGTACGAGGTTGAGAAGCAGAATGAGGTTGGCAGGATTATGGATACGCTGAATCTGAGGGAAGGCGAGTATCTGGAGGAGAAGGATGGGCTGAAGAGCTCGTTTGACAGCTCGGCACTCAAGAGCGGGATTGCCATGTCGATACCGCGGGATGCTTTTAAGAGCGCGACTCTGTAGATTTGGTGTATAGTATGTAACAAAGGATCTTGTACATGTACTCGTGGGTGCTCACATATGCTGGCTTGTTGGCGGGATGCTGATGTTCAAGCATGTGCAATTGGTGTAGTTACTGCTGCGAGCTCCGTGGCTTCCGTTGTGTATTCCCCACCATATCTCGAGAAAGGTCTTCTGAGGACGACTGCGTAGTTGTGACCGCCTGATATGGGGTGCGAGCTGGTTGCAAGATGAAATGTCCACAAGCCCTACGAGACCTTCAACCGCACCATGATTTTTGGCGTACGCGCCCTCTGGGAGCCTGGGCCTCTTGCTAGGCCTCTCGTCACCCTCTACAGCCTTGCCTTCTTCTGTCGCTCCTCTCGCCTGTTTCCCCTCTTCTTGTCGCATCGCTTCTGCATCCACTCCTCTGAATCGCGTTTAGTGAATATACGGTACCATGCCAAACTGCGGAACGTGCGGCGGGATCTCCACCTCGGCTCCCTTTGCGGTCCGTAACGCGGCCATGATCTTGTCGATGACCCTCAGCTTCCACAGTGCACTAGTGTTGATGATTGCGTCCGAGAAGCTGTTAGCACAGGTCGGCACCCAGACGTGCACAAGTTTTCTTGACCGATTCTGACGGCTCTTCGCTCAGCTTGCAGCGCATCGAGCGAGTTCCACCAGGGCTGTAAAGTCAAGGTTAGCATATTCCTAGTATCAGTATTGCATGGAATCCACTTACCTCCACGAAGATACCCTGCGACGCTTCGTTCATGGTCAGCCCAGTTCCACCAGCCTTGGCTTGGAAGCCGATGGGCGTCGTCGCATGCGAGAGCGTCTGCCACTTGTGCAAGAGGTCGTCCCTTTCCTTTGTACTCAAGACACCGGAGCATACGGGGATATCAACTGAGTAACGTCGGCGGAAAGCTTCGGCGATGATGATGAGCGCCTTGTAGAATCGACTCCAGATAATGATCTTCTCCGCAGGGTAATTTACCAAGATAGTGTCATAAAGCTCTAGGAGCTTGTTGTATCGGGGCGTGAAAACGTGATGGTCGCTCATCTTGGCCACGCGATCGAGAGAAATCTGGTGCTTCGTCCTCTTCTTGGTCTTGCCGGTCTTCTTTTCCTGAATGAATGGTGCAATTGCGGCCTGCTCATCCTTCCGCTCCTGCTCTTCATCTTTTTCCTCGATGAATTCGGCTGCATCGTCGTCGGCTACATCGGCCATGTTCACTTGGTCGTGGGCTTTGCTGTGGGCTGAACCGGACCCTGTCATCGCCAGCAGGGCCAGCTTCTCGAATCCCGTCTCCATGAGCCAGATCATCATTTGCCGAGAGAACCTTGCGCTTTGTGTGTCTGTCTCGTCAATGTCGGCCCAACCTGGGAGACATTGAGCCTCATTGCTGTCCTCTTCTCCGAGCTCCATGGCCTTGATCTTGGCGGCGACTACCGCTTCGACGCACATGTTGCGGGCGTTCTTCAGATCGATCGGACTTTTCTGCATTGCCGCCTTTTGCTTCTCGGTATATTCCGCGAGAACAGGGAAGCCTGATTCCTGCTCCGCCCTCGTACAAAAGCCCATGGCGGACTGCAGATCCTTCTCGTCGACCGCGAGCTCTTCCTTGCTTATCCTGGCGAGCCTAACGAAGCTCTCAATGAGCCAGAGAGTCCGCTGCGACCTTGCATCTGATATCCTGAAGGTCGTCGGCTCCTCTTCTCTTTTGACGGTGTCGTACCTACCTTCTGTTCATGTCTTCACTCTTCTTCTTCTTCCTGCTATTAACAGAACTCAGCGACATCATCTATCACTCCACCAGAGGATGACAGAATACTTCGATTACCGACTACATGCACGCCACTGCGCGTAGACGTGCATCCCGTGTTCCTGTTCAAAGAATACATTGCTATGTATACTCTCCTTAGTGAAGGACAATATACCGCGTATGCAGCAATAGCTACCTCAAAAACCCCTTCACGAGGACGCTGGTTACATTGTCGACTTCCCAAGGCCCGGTGTCTGTAGTTCCATCAACGTGCGTGAGATTGTAGCCGTCCGCATGAAGTATGGGTTCCTTGCAAGATGCGATTTCCAGCAGTCGCGCGGAATTTTCACGTGTATGCTTCGCTCAGGGCCATATGGGTAGACCATATGCTTTTTGGTAGTATCGTGGAGAACTGACGGAATAAATCGTTGTGCTCTGCCGTATGCAAGCGTCAAGTCGTCAAGTATCCTGTGGGATTAGATAGCCCTCATGCCATCGCCAATCTCCGATTTATAATGCTCCCATGCGAGCTGGTTTGGAAGGAGGTCGTCGCTCATCGTGATGGTTCTCATATCACCGTCGAATGTTACTGGTGGACTCATCCAGCAGTATCGTGAAGTCGCGAATCTTCCGCGCGAAGATCAACGCTAATCTCGAAATGCCCACTAGCGGCTTGGTCGCTTACTACGTCACAGCCTTGATCTCCCACGTGTCACCCCGCCCTAGCTTATCAATCACTGCCATTCCAGCCGGACCGACTCCGCACCACGAGCACCACTATGTCCACGTCGAAACCGTTCCCAGCGCTAAGTGGCGGCTGCGTCTGTAACACGATCCGCTATAGGCTCCTGACAGCACCGCTCTACTGTTATGCCTGCCATTGCATGGATTGCCAAAAGCAGACCGGCAGCGCGTTCTACCTGAGTCTGAACATCGAACTATACAACATCCAGATTCTATCTCCAACAAAGCCTTCGTTCCTGAGCCGAGAGGTTAAACCGGGCCTTGTCGATCGGTATGCCGAGTGTCCGCAATGTCATGTCCAGCTTTGGGCTAGTAATCACCTGGGTGAGGCAGTCGTTGAGCTGAGAGTTGGCACACTGGACTTCCCGTCGCTCATGGAGCCGGATATACACATTCACGTGGAAAGTAAGCTGGATTGGGTCACTTTGCCTGAGGGCGCGAAGACGGCGCAAAGAGGCCATGATTACAAGACGTCGTGGCCCAAGAGTAGTCTCAAGAGATTGGATATCTGCCTGGAAAGAGCGGAAGAGATGAAGAAGAGGAGGGCTGCTGCGATGAGGGGGAGTGCTCATGGCACGAGTGAAGATGAGGAGACTACGGATGGGAACGTGGTGGTCGAAGGAAGTGGAGAGGGTGACAAGACGCCAACCGCAGGAGATCTTGGGGGCGACGAGGATGATGAGGCTGAGGAACAGAGATTTAGGGAGACCGAGAAGGCGTTGCTGGAGCGGTTGGAGCGGTTGAGCTTGAAGCTGCAGAATGAGGAAGGAACGAAAAAAGTGGTGGAGACGTGTCTCGAGGACCCCAACAAGACCTCATAAGTGGTGCGGAAGGTCCCAAGAGCCTCGAAGAACGTGCGCAATCTACTCCCCTTCGCGGTCTTACAAGTCTGGTAGATATTTCTGCTGTATCATTGTAGATCTGGATAAGAGGTTGATACAGGCGCGCTTGCCTTCAGTTGTGCAGCACGTGCGCTTACGTCATGGTCGTACCTATCGTGTACGAGGCCAGTGAGTCGTCGCACACCGCGTCCACCAACAATTTCCTCTGCGCATCCATTCCACTCCACTGCACCTCCACCATGGCGCTTTCGATCTTTTGCATTCTACTTTCGCTTCTCGCTACACTCACTTGCGCGTCTACCAACGACCGTCAAACAGGACACCAAGATGCACCTGGGAAGGAGACGAGGATAGCCATCATCGGCGCAGGACTCAGCGGCTCTAGTACAGCGTACCATTTACGCAAGAATGCTCCTCCGGACCAACCACTCTCGATCACGATCTTCGAATCTAGCGAAAGCATCGGCGGACGAGTCGCTTCATTCCCAGTACCGGATACCCAGAACCGGACCATTCTCGAAACCGGCGCTGCCAGTTTCTTTACGGACGATACATGCATCACGCAAAGCGTTGAGAAGCTGGGTCTGACTCTCCTAGACAAGAAAGGTTGCTGGTCGCTTCTGGGATGTCTCTACAACCCATTTAGAAGAACAGGCATTTGGAACGGCAAGGAAATTATCGGCAAGCCATTGCTTGCTTTGAGACTGAGCGAATGGTTAGATGAGCACGGTCTGCTCTGGATTGTGAAACCAGTCGTATGGTCCAGCAACATGTCCGTATGGGATACCTTGCGTCTCCTCCACTGGAACGATCTGAAGTTAGACCCTGGGCTGCAGGCCTCGTGCGACTTCACGTTTCCATCGATTTGGAGACGTATCCACATGCGCTACGAGTACGGCAGCTCGCCTGCACTCTTCCGGCGAGCGGTCCACACTACGGCTGAGAGATTTCAGCATTTTGGACGTACAGACCGGTTCAGTAGAGTTGATGAACAGCTTAGAAGGGTTGGTCTGAATGACGACATCGCAAAACTCTCCGCTGCGGACTATCTTACAGGCCTTGGTATCAGCAGGCTATTCCAGTCCGAGGTCATCGAGCCATGTGTACGCGCGCGCTCCTCTCTTGATCTGACGCAGGTTAGTGCTATCGATGCGATGGTGGCTTGTAGAGAGTCAAAGGAAACATCATTAGTCGGCGGTAACATCCGGCTTGTAGGCGCAATGATAAACGCCTCGCTAGGGGACTTGCAACTGCGAAGCGAGGTGGTTGGAATTGAACATGGCCAAGATCGACGATACAAACTCTCAATCGCGGATGCATCAGATCTAACGTTACATGAAAACCACGAGTTCGATGTAGTCGTGCTGGCGGGTCTGGTTCATGAGAGTCCACTACTTGACAGCCTCCAAAAGCTCGGCTCGCTGCCGAAGAACCTCTTATCACCACCAAGTTATACCTCAGCGCACGTTACCTACTTTGCTACGGAGCATGCCTTCAGACCGGAATATCTCAACTTATCCGCTGACTTCGACGTCCCAGACCGCCTTCTAACGACATCTGCGGAGTCCAGCCTGATCTCGCTATCTATGTGGGACGATATGGGCTTTTACTGGGAAGACCGACTTCGGCGCAAGGAACCTTGGGTTGAACGACCTGATCATTACGACAGCGATGAATGCGGGAACCGTAAGTTTGAATACGAAAACCTGTACCGTGTAGTGTCTCTAGAGTATATCTCAGAAGGCGAGCTTGCTGCAATGATTGGAAAGGATTGGGAGGAGGGACAGAATGCGACGGACATCGGATTCAGCTGGGTTCATCGACAAGAATGGAGCAAAGCGTTTCCGAAATTTGATGACGGCAGGGGTGTAACAGGAGACCTTCAGGTAGCGGAGGGTGTCTTCTGGCTTGGTGGTGGGAATGAGGTTACGTCGTCACTTGAGATGAGTTGTAAAATGGGAAGGAATGTTGTGGCCCTAATACGAGACCGGGCGACTACAACAAGTGCTAGACATGGCGAACTGTAGCTCACAGGTAGTTATCATGGCGACATCGAGCCGGAGGTCCTTCAAATGTAAGTCTATGAAATGTTGTGCCTGCTACATTGGCATTCTCCTTACCTCTTCATCCTCACGACTTGCGTTGTAGTCCGCGGTACTGGAATAGGTAGGCTGGTTTGGACATAGATAATTGCAGCAATCAATTTCACCACTCTTATGGTAGCGCAGTGAAGTCGCGAAGTGAAGGACTGAGCCAAGGCAGCAGAGAAAGAGCGCACGGCCTGGATCTCTGATATATACACAACGTACCCCTCCCGCCCATTGTACCCCCCAACTGCACTGGTCAAAAACTACCTCGAGATAAGCTCACGAATATGCATTCCTCCAAGGCACTACTAGTCCTCATCTTTGGCCTCCTGACGTCTCTCTTCCAAGTCTGCAGTGCACGGAATGTGGGTATTGAGACTACTCCCATTTTCAAGAACTCGCAATGCAGTGCGGAACAAGAGCGTATCATCCATCAAGCGTGGTTGGATGGCGTAATGCTCGCTAATGCGGCCTTTGATGATAGCGACGAACTCCTTCCGAATACCGGCGGCGGGCACAGGATCATAAACTTCGATACTCAAGCGGCAATCGAATATTGGGGTCCACCAAGCGAAAACCTTGGATACCGGCAGCGAATCTATGATACCTTTTACCGCGCCACTCAAGCGTCATGGGGGCGGGGTTGGGCCGACTGGTGGTTTGAACGCTATATCGAAATGCACTGCGACGATCCGGAGCCGAAACAGTGCGACGATTCAACTTCTGCTTACTACATGCCCACGAAAAAAGGTTCGTGGTCATACGACGGTATCAACTTTTGCCCGGCGTTCTTCTTCACTCTCAAGGACCACGCAGAATTGGAGAAGAATATCCTCGCCGACCCGACTGGCCAATTAAGGCTAAACACCAGGAATATGCGAAGCAGAGGTGAACTACATGCTCAACTTGCGACCAATTCTCGTTTGCTGATTACTGAATATAGCCTGCACCGCTCTCCACGAGTTACTACATGTCAACGACTCCAAGACGGAAATCTGTCAGGGGGGATGTGAGTGTTACAGCATATCGTTATAACTTCCCACGTACGACTGACACGATTAGGTCACGACACCAAGCAAATGATAGGCGGCAAGGCAATCTTCACGTACAAATCTGGCCGCGCAAAACTACTGGCGGCGAGGGACGTTCAGGCTGCGGCCGAAACCAACGACAACTATGTCTATTTTGCCATCGCGCGGTACATGCAAAAGAAGTTTGGGGTCTACCCCGCGTATCCACGCATATGGAGTCCTGAGAAAACGAAGGGAGAGAACCAGGCGAACGAGAACGGCGAACCGGGCGCCCCAAGCCGTTACAATATGGCGTTTGAGTTGGAAGATGTCGACCTCGATGGCGGCGCCGGCGAAGCGATTTCGGATAAGCAGTACAAGACGTCGATCTACCCGGAGTGGTACCAACAAGACTCGCCCGTTGAGCCTGACTTTGGTAGACTCGCCTTCTCCCACCCTAATATAGACGACGTTGTTTGCCAGACTACGAGCGAGTCTGCGCAGTACGACGATTGTGTAGCCGCCTTTGCGACGCTGGAGGGTCTCGATCGGAATAAGGTGCAGCTGGTTCACAAGAGACCCGGCGAAAGGTGGTGGGCGAATGTGGTTACGACGTGTGCGGTCCAAGTCCACTACAAGGGCGACTGGTCAAAGTGCGAGGCTTCGCTGTCGGATATTTGGGCTCACGCTAAGGATGTATTCGAGGGGTGCCATGGTGAGTATGGGACGGTGGGTGGCTATGTTCCTTTCGGCGTGCCGAACTGCCCTGCGACGATTGATCTCGTGTCTAGTCGTCAGTGGCGCAATCCGGATCCGTTCTAAATGATCATCGAGCGGGTGTAGATGGCAATGTACATTTTGAGGGCGTCACCTCCCATGTGCGGTGGTAAATATAGAAAGGAGACGTCGCATTAGATGATGCAGACGTTATTCACGCGGGTAGTGTTCATGTGATGTCTGAGCGATGAGGTACGAGGCCGCACCACATCAAAGGGGCCGCGCTTCCCCTCTTCGGGTGTTAGCGCCAATAGCACCCCAACGGCTCTGGCGGCACCTCCCTCCCGACCCTCTTCACGTTCGTTGTGACTCAACGACGTTACGCCTCACGCGTCCCATCGATCGTTTCGCGAGAATGCCATCCTATTCTGGTCATATTTATATTTATAATCGAAAGCCACACGTTGACACGACTGCGCGCACAATATCGACGCGTTCTTTCACAGCACGCACCCTCGTGGCGTTCGCATGCCGTGTGATGCCGTCGCAGCGAATCAAACGCCTACAATCGCGCGAGCCGTATCATGGATGTAGATGACGGTAACTACTGGCGTGTGCAAGCCGGCCACCCTGCCGCTGACTACATGAGCACTGCGCTGCATCTCGCGTGGCGAGAGAATCCTCCGCGGACTGTCACCAGGCTCATTCGCCGCCTTGCTGCATGTAGACGTATTCGAGTAAGCTCTTCACCGGTAAGGCAGGTGGCATGACCCACCTTCTCGTTTGCCTGTACAACTGATGGTCACGAACATCGCGTCTTGCACTTCACGGACACATTGAGTTTCCCCCATTTGCCAACTAACTGTCGCCGACTTACTCTAGCTGCGGTATATTGAGACTTTCCTGACTTATTCAGCGAGCGGCGTTGTATCGGAACCGACGATCAGGCTGTCAAGATGAACGACCCACCTTCGGACGCAACACCGCCAACCTACGTGAACCACCCGTTGTGGAGTCGCTTCCTGCGCTGGTCCACAATACGACCCAAGAATAAAGGCTTGACCCGCACTAATAGTCTTGTGGCTGCCGCGTACAATGCCGGCGAAGAAGAGAGACTGAGCTTACTCCCAGAACATCGGTACATTCCGCTACCGGACCCACTCAGCTTCATCAGACTTGCCACGATCTTACCTGGAGAGTTTGACGACGAGATCCGGATCCGGCTTGATCATCATGTCTTGAGGCCTCCGTCTAGAGCCAAACCTCCGCGACTGACGCTGGCCGAGATCAGAGATCATATGCCCAAAGGCTGGGAAGCTTTCCAGACGGTAAGTCATAGCAGGCCTCTTGGCTCTTTTGATCGCAACAGTCCGGCGTATAAGAAGGAGACTGAAATCAGCGAAACCTCTCCAATCCCACCAGCTCTGATAAGATGACAGATCACCGAACACAAATACTTCTTTCGAAACGTGGAGACGGGCGATATACAATGGAACCACCCGGATCCAGACTTTCATATCGAGCAGTACAAGTCGATACCGGAGAGCGATGGCGTGGTACCAAGATATGAGACAGTATCCTACGTCGTACGTACAGTTCTGCTAGTACAACCCCTTCTGATAAGTGTCTGACTGACGCTCCTGATACAGTGGGGAGACTCAAGCAAGAGCGAAATTATCACCGTCGAAGGCCCGAATGGTCCAGCGAAACTGTACGTCACGAAGAGCTTAACCACGGTGGTCCGATTTCTACGCTACCCTGGTCAAACGAGAACACTATGGATCGATGCAATCTGCCTCAATCAAAGTGACAACGACGAGTTGAACAAGCAGGTGCCACGAATGCACGATATATACAGGTTGGCTTGGATGAGCACGCTGTGGTTGGGGACAGAAGACGCCAGCAGCACCTTAGCGCTGCGCACATTCCGCTACCTGGGCAATCAGATCGTTGCCGAAGCGGACACTGGGCTCCTTTTCAGCGCTCCCGGCGCGGAAGAGAAGGATTGGTACGACCCTGACTTCAAGTTGCCTTACACACCCGAGACATGGGATAGCATACACACTCTGCTCCAGCGTCCATGGTTCCATCGCTTGTGGGTTGTACAAGAGATTCGCCCGACTGCTGTAGTGCAGTGTGGATATGAGAGAGTGCCGGTCGCTCCGTTCACTGAAGCAGTTTATTGCTTATACTCGAAAGCGACTGTACCAGATGGCCTTCGAGAACGTTTAGAGCAGGCTACGGGTACAATGGCGCGGCTACCAGCCCTATGCTTCACACGACTACTCTATCGCGCAGCCACTTTCAAGGCATGTACCGACCCTAGGGACAAGATCTATGGACTGCTTGGTCTCGCTCCACACAAGGTCGCGGCAAGCATCAAAGTCGAGTACGACGATAACAACACCGGGGCAGACGTGTATGCCATGACAGTACTCAACCACGCCGGGATATCGCAGCGACTGGAGCATTTCCACAATTGCTCTAATAATGGACAGGTCACCGCTGATGCGCCGACATGGGTACCCGACTGGGCGTCAGACATCCCCGGCGAGACCTACATACCTGCTCAGTTCGCGGCTACTAGCTCGCGGGCTCACTATACGGTGACCAACGCGGAGAACACCCAGCCAGGAAACAAGACGAGACCGGAAATCCTTCGAGTACGTGGAGTGCGATGTGCGGAGGTAAGCCAGGTAAGCACGCCTTTGCCAGCGTGGCTCGATAGGCGGGAAGCGATCCGTCGCGTCAGGGAGTGGCAGCCGGGCGATCTGGATGCTATCTACGGACCTACGAACGAGCCGATGAGGAAGGCACATGCTCTTACCCTCAACTGCAGCATCACGAAAGAGCGCGAGCCAGATTGGATACTCAGCTCGACGAACGCTTGGGTCGGCCAGGACTTCGGTGATCAAGCACTCTTTGGTCAAAGCGAGACGGAGTTGCCGAGCTCCGCAATTAGAAGTGATGTCTCGGACGCCCTTCAATGTTGTGCTGATCGCCTCTTCTTCCGTACCAAAGAAGGATACGTTGGCCTTGCACCGTCAAATACCCGGGTCGGCGACATCATCGCGATCTTGCTCGGCTGCTCTACACCTCTGGCGTTGCGACCGAGCTCCCGCGGTCCCGACTACTACACCGTTGTTGGTGAATGCTTCGTATACGGTCTACAAGATGGTAATATGCTCCTCGGCTCACTACCTTCACCGTGGCTAGGCATGGCAGCCTGGGCCGAAGGTGATCGCCGCGTTTTGAGATTTTTGAACACCGATACTCAGGAAGTGAGTATCGAAGACCCACGATTGTCTGTCGATGATCTTGAGGGTTGGGAGAGGACGGCCAAGTTGGTGGATGGTGACGACCCTACGAACTACGACTTCTTTCGGAACAAGGAAACGGGTGAGCTCATTAATTACGACCCGCGGCTCGAACCGGAGAAGCTGGAGAAGAGGGGTGTGAAGCTGGAGTGGTTTTCATTGGTATGATTTCATGGACCAGAGGCGTTGCTCTAGCTAGCGAGGCTGTCAACAAGTCGCTAATGTCTCCACACCCTTCGTGCTAACAAGTCGTTGATAAGATAAGACAAGCGATTATAATGGTAACATCAAACTGCTATAATCCACCTGTATGAGTGAGTTGTTGCTAATGATCATAGTATGTCTAGGTGTTATGCAGCATACTTGCGCTTCTACGACAACCCTTCCAATGCACCGTCTATTTGGAACAGCCCTGGCCCTCACTTACCAAGACCGAAGGCGCACCTTCACCCGCACTTTTTACATATAAATATACCCTTGCTTGCAACCACAACTTGATAAGTTCAGATCCACAAAACCGAAGGCACGAAATATTTTTGGTGGTCTAATTACGTTACCCAAAACAGCCAGGTGAAGGTGAAGGCCAAGGTGACTTCGACCTTGTTGTGGTAGACACTAGCGGGGACGCTAGGGTGTATATAAGCACTCACCTCAACACTCGACTGCTCTCCATCCTCTTCCAATACTCACGTCGCAGAGCACTCAGCACAATATGGAGCCCGTCATCGAACCCCTACACCGCTATGCATTCAGCTTCGCCCTCATTGGCGTCGAGGCGCCAGCTCTCCAGGATCATACACTACTTCGCGTGCAGAATTGGAGCTCGAGCGCAACAATTGTGGATCGACGGGTTGACACAACAGCAGAAGCCTCATCAGAAGAGAAGACGATGGCGGACAACGACCAGAAGGATCTAGGTCTCTGGGTCGGGGTTCGACCGGCCAGGGCCGATGTGCTGCGCCAACAAGCTGCCAAGCCTGTTGGTAACGACACCGAGGCACAGGCAGCTCTCGCCATACTCAAGGACATCACGATCAAAAAGGCTTCATCGGTAGAATCAGTCATGCGCCTCAATAGCCTTCCAATCTGGCCGCTGAAGGACGGCATGACACGGGTGGTAGTCCGGTACAACTCTATGCAAGCAGATCGTCTGCTATTCTACGAGCTGATCAACCGCGACCCGTTGACCAATGTAAGTTTTACTCCGCTTCAATACAGGCTGTAATAGACGGTCTAAACGGTTCGATCGCTTACTCTCATCAGCTATGTGAAGCACACCCCATCGAGGCTCAGGACTGCTTCTTCTTCCGTCGGTACCGAGTCGACAAGTCATCCACATGGGTTGACCGTCGAAACAAATGGACTCAGGTGATCAAGGAATATCTCGCGGAACACTTCAACACGCCTCCCAAGAACGAAGGCTTCCGCCCTGCAAAGTCACATGCGCGTGTTGAGTTCCCGCTCGAGATCAGCCAGAGCATCGACCTGCAATCGATGGCCAATCAGTACGCCGCGACGGGCGCTCCTTGGCTGTTGGACGCGATGGAGCGAGCCATCTTGAGGTCAGAAGACGACTTCAAGGATGCAGAGATACCTCAACTTATCGCCATCTACCGTCTCATAGATCTGCACCACGAGTTCGAAGACGGCGACGCGAAAGAGGCTCACCGCTGGCTCACGGTACGTTTCAACCGTAATGCACGGTGTAAACATTGCTAACACTCACAGGACATGTTTCCTGGCCTAATGAAGACCGGCACATTGACACCCGAGAACGTCTCCAAATACGCAGCATACCTCCGCGACACCGAAACCCGCGTCACTTACGGCGACATCCGCACAGGCTTGGGGGCGTACCTCTGTCTGCTAGATGACAAGACGTTTGCTACAGCAGCCACCAACTCTGCGATCGCCAAAGAGATTGCGCTGATGCGCCTTTTTATGCATGAGGAAGTCCAGGGACCGCCTCCAAAGTGCACCAAGGTGAACACCAACCTAGAGCACTGGCTCAGCGACCACGTCAGAATGATGCAACGCATCGTGGACGCGCATGCCGACTCTCTCACCGGTATTGTCGACTACCACGGCACAGCCGCATGCCCCGATAACCTAGACGACCTCTGGATGAACGCCGGAAACTCGCCTGATACCGACGGAGCGAAATTCTTCGCCTTGCAGGCCAGCCGGTTCTTCGCCAAGGAGATTATCGCAAAGTACGATGTCACGACCAAGAACATCGAGAAATACATACAGATACGCAAGCAAGCGCTTAAGGACCTTGCTGCTGGGGGCGACGAACCTGCTGAGGAAGAGGATTGAGATGAGGAGACGGGCTGAGATGAATGGTCAGTGAGTGGCGGACGGGGAGTAAGGGTTGATTTTGGAGCAACGGCAGTATTGAAGGCTCTATTCAGCTCTATTTCGAGGGCGATCAGCCAGTGATAGCTGAAGCATTCATCTAGTCATGCAATGATTATGAAGATCAAATTTGAGGCACCTCTACCCTTGCCTTATGTTTGCACCGTGTAAATTCTCTATGCTCTGCCAATGTGTCTTCCTCGCAACGCGAATGTGTATTGGTGTCGTGGAATCACTCACAAACGACGACAAGCAGCATCTTCACCCTCGAAACCACTTACATCGTTGTAAGGTCGCTAACAGCTAGTTGACATATATACGAACATGAGCGAGTGAAAGGGCTCTTGTTAGAAGACGTCCTTGTTCTGGGTATCCTTTGGATGGTTGAACATCCGATTTACACTAGGGAACCTTGTGCACCGGCACGATACACTACTCTTGAGCTCTCTGCTTTATTGTAATCGACGAAGATCCATGCCTTACGCTGCTTACAGTAACGACAACGTCTCCAGACCTACTGCCGGAACGTATCACAGCTAAGGCTCGCCCTCGCCATGTTCTATGAACATTGCCGTTGAAGGAATCCAGATTCTTATAGTACGCAGACCCAAGCGCTGCCAGAGTGGCATCTCCATGTACCTCGACAGTGAGGGTATCGTCGTCGTTCATCTCGATGTTTCCCTCCTGATCGGCGAGTTGAAGTCCAAGGTACGCTAGGTCTTGTCTGTCTGCGACAAGTTCACCGGACTTCTCGTTGACGATCTTAACTGAAGCAACGTCAGCGGAGCGGAGCGTGGAGCGCGAACGCTCCTGTCCGCCAGAGTATGCAACAGCAAGAAGTTCGCCAGGCTCGTAAGCTGTCGAAAATCTAGCGGTGTATCTGTTGGCTTGGTTGCTACTTGCGCGCCCAAGCGAGCGGCCATTCAGGAAGAGTTCTGTTTCCTCTTCCTGAGTGATGACCTCAATGTAAGCCTTCTGGCCCTCACAAGCCTTCCAGCCCCAGCCCTCGATCGCATCGGAATTTCGCCAGGGCGTCGACTTGTAATACAAGTTAGAGACGTCCAATGGACGTACCGCAATTACGGGTTGAGACAGGAGTTTCCAGCACGCTTGGGCTACGAAAGCCGAAGCATTGGGCACACCAGTGATGTCTAAAGCGCCGCAACCCCCTACTAGATGTGGCCAAGGTTTGTACAATTTTATAGGGGTAAACCTGCTTGCCTCATAGTCGTGCACACCAATGCCTACCTCGCCAAGGTAGTCCCATCCAGTCCACATGAAGTCTCCTATTAGGTTTGGAATCTTTTCAACGTTGGACCAGTTCCTAGGAAGATCAGGTGGACAGGTTTCGGTACCGAGCATCATCCTTGAAGGGTGTAATTTGGCATCTGATTGGTACCGGATATCTCCATAATTGTAGCCCGCAACATCCATGTACGAATAGAGTCTGCTGGTCACAACATTGGTGTGATTGAACTTTGGGATGTACCGCATGAATGAGAGGAACATGCTGGCGATGATGTTGAAGAAATTGCTAGAGACCAAATCCCCCAGACCGCCCTTGTTATCTGCAGGAGGAGTATTTGGATCCCCCGGCGGGATTTTTGAAAACATCATCACGGCCAGCGTAAGGTTGACCGCGATAGTGTTGGGTCGGGATGGATCCAGCTTGTGCGTGAAGTCCAGGAGCTTCTTGGCGATCGTGTGTCCGTAGGCGGTTTTTGGCTCAGTGATCTCGTTACCCAAGGAGTACATAACAACTGAAGGGTGGTTACGAGCTCGTTCCACAAGAGAAGCGACTTCGTACTCCCAGCGTTCGTTGAAGGTGTTGGAATCGTCGTATTTAGACTTTGCCTGGTACCAGTAGTCGGCAAACTCATCCATGACGTACATGCCTACCTCATCACATGCTTGTAGAAGAACTTCCGAGCATGGATGGTGCGACATACGAATAGCGTTGAAGCCATTCTTCTTCATGATCGACACGCGCCGCAGTTCAGCAGCTTTGAACGACGCTGCGCCGAGGATACCGTTGTCTGCGTGTATGCAACCACCACGCAACTTCACAGCCTGGCCATTGACCAGGAATCCATGACCAGGTTTCAACTGCAGAGTGCGCAGACCGTACTTGAACTTATAGAGATCGCCGTTGATGACGACAGTGCAGTCGTAGAGATTCGGAGTCTCAGCCGACCATAGATCTGGGTTCGATATCTCGAAGTTTTGTCTCAGCTCAGACGTTGTCGTTTTTGTTGTCCACTGGATCGCGTTCCTTCCTCCTCTCGAAAGCTCGAAAGATACTTCAACGTCATCCTTCTTTTCGTTGTTGAGTAAGACCTCGAATGTGAGAAGAGCAACTCCACTGGCGGAGAGCGTTGCCAGCCTGATCCCGTCCTTGCAAAGCAGATTGTGGTTTCGAACCATGAGATGAACGCTGCGATGAATTCCGGCTCCAGTGTACCAGCGCGCGTTAGGTTGTTCACTGTTGTCGGCATGTACTTCGATGGTGTTCCTCTCGCCGAGCTTCAGGTAAGAGTCTACGCGAACCTCAAACTTGGTCCAGCCCGCCAGACAACCGCCGACTTCTGTGCCGTTCACCAGCACGCGACTGTGCCGGTAAACACCATCAAAGCTCAAAGCGACCACTTTGGACTCCAGAGTAGTAGGCGCTTGCCATGTTTTGCGATACTTGTACATTCCGCCAAGATAAAATCCGCCATGAGTTCCAGCGAGGGCGTCCTCCCGCCGCCCTTCTACCTGCATAGCATCGTGGGGAAGGTGTACTTTGCTCCAGCCAGTTTGCCCAGAGCGTTGGAACTCCCAATCTTCGTTGAAAAGTGTCGCTACTTCGGCCATTTTTTGCATCTGCTATGCACTGGAAGTTGAACCAAGGGCATGAAAATTAAAGGTAGGGGCTTAACTTTCTAACACGGGGTCAGCAAAGTTCTTGTAGCGTCAAGCGTACCAAAAACGTACACGGCCCTCCTCGGTGCAATAGTCTGCATCTTGGAAGATGCTTGCGCACAGGTACGTATATCCACCAATGATTTGGTGTTACATAGAAGTTTCCAGCCTTGTAGCCCTGATATTATTGTGCAGAGAATCCATTAGCGCTTACGTCGAAAGTCGGATGCACAGAGGCCGGGTCCGGACGCCTTCTGTAGCTTCGGATGCACAAGGTCCCGAGTCCGGACGCCTTCGCGACTCACAAGCTACCCAGCGCGTGCGCCTATCATGCACTTAGTTAATAACTCGAAGCAAGCGCCTATCGTGTCGCGGCTTTTATGCCGACTCTTAGCAGCTAGCAAAAAATTGTCATATCGCGTAGGCCCAGGCGAAGGAAGGAACCAGATTGCAGCCATTGTGGTGACGCAGAAGCGCCTGCGTATTACAGCACTAATGACGGCTCAACGTCGATACTCGTGAGGCTGCAGATGTCGTTGTGGTGGAGAAGCCGTGGTGTTGAACACCGCGATGACGCGCCGCAATTGCTTGGCGTCGGACCGCCGATTGGCCACCATCTCTCAGGTACACACCACACCATCCGACCGCCATTAACACTTCAACGCCATCATCTCGGCAGCCAGCGACTGTACGACAAGTGCGGCCATCTATATTGCAAGCTCATCGTCGTGAGTACGTAGTGATGCTATCATCACCGACGTACGCAGCGCGCGTCATCACAGCATCTGGCAGCGCGCGTCGTAGTGCCTCACGTAACGCGACCGCGTCATAGAATCTCTTGCTAATCTCAAGTCAACTAACGTCAGCTCGCAGCCTCTTGGTGAAACGTCAGTCACTGGTTGGGAAGGGTTCGGGAACGTCTCAATCCATGAAGAGTCGCCTGCTCTACGGCTCACCGAACGGCGCCTTTCCATTGTCGTCTCATCCCGATTCTACATGCCAACGGTGCCTCCCCAGATCATCGTGTCCGGCCTACAACGCGAAGCGGAAGTCGGGATGATCGTCGCCCAGCGCCTTCGTACTCTGGTCAAGAACCTCCGGCATCTGCAACCTTGCCTCATCGCGCTTCTTGTTCTCCCTCTTGCAACCAAAGAATGTTACCGTCGCAGCAACAACACCGATACAAGCCAGTCCGAGACCCGTACTAAACCCAGTACGAAACACCGGCGCCTCTTTAAACAGAAAAACGTTAGAGCTAATAAAGGCCCCTGCAGTACCGAAGTTGATAATTGCAGCAATAGCCACGGCCCGCTTGTACCCAGAACCGCAGTTCATCGAGACCCAGATAATCGAGATCGGCATCGCGAGATAGCATCCACTGGCAATAAAAAACATGCCGCAATACCGCACGGCCGGGTTGGACGGGTGCACAATCTCCACGATGAGACCTGTCGCGAGAACTGCCCAACCTAGGACGTAAAACAGATACCGGCGCTGCAGCCACTCGCTCATGTACGCGAAGATGACCGAGAAGGCGGCGCCGATAAGATACACAGGGATCGTGTGGACCTGCGCTTGCGTCGCGGTATAGCCAAGGCCCTTTAGGATGGTCGGTTGGAAGTTCGCGAGAGAGTTTGCGTTCTCAGTCACCCCGATGTTCATCAAAACGCTGGTCACGATCAGTTCAGTTATGCGCAAGAACATACATGCCACTTACCCAGTCCAGATCTTCCAGTCTTTGAGGAAATGTAACGCCTTCTTGAACGATATCTCGTCGTCGGCAACATGACCCCCATCAGCTTTTATGCGAGCTAGCATCAGCGCCTTCTCGTCGGGAGACAGAAACTTGCATTGCTCGGGAAATGGGGGAACGATCGGCCAACAGGCTATGCTGACGAAGATAGTCACACAACCTTCGATGATGAAGATCCTAATTCACGTCAGTAGATGTACGCCAAAGGACTCAACAGTTAACCTACCATCTCCACGCTCCATACCCGGCTGTACCGTCCATGCGAGCGATTAACGAGGAAACGAACCCGTTGATTGCGCCCGCC